AGAAGAAGAAGAAGAAGAAGAAGAAGAAGAAGAAGAAGAAGAAGAAGAAGAAGAAGAAGAAGAACTAGTAGTATTAAAGGTGATAAGGTCATAAGGGAAAACAAAAAATATATTTCTATAAAAAATACAGAAATATCAGATGTAGAAAACAGCCACCACTCCTAGAACTGGGATAGAGCACCTGGGCAAGAGGATACTCCCTCCCAGGGCTGAGATCCAGTCATAGTTGGAGAGGGCACAGCGTGTCTCACTGGAGGGCAGAGGATTCATGGAGACGTCCCCCCTCCCAGGATTTGCCCAGAATCTACCTTCCAGAGTGCTAGAGGAAGCCATTTTTCAGAGCTGCACCTTGAAACTTACTCAAGCTACCCACAGGGGGGTCAGAGAAGCCATCCAAAGCAAGGTGCCTTGCTGGTACCCCTTGAGGGGAGTGTGCCAGAAGAAGCCATTTAGGGTACCTATCAGTCTGCTCTGAAGCCATCTGAGGGGGTGGTCCCAGGGGAAGCTATCAGGGGCCAGTTGTGGCTGGGCACCAGTGTTGCTGAAAAACCCACACACACTGGAGAAGATCCATGAGGTTAGCATACCGGAACCCGGAAGAGCTACCTCTTCCTTCTCAGTGTCCCTCCAGCACCCTCTGCTGATAAAGTCTAAGATTGGACCAGATGGAAAGGAAAAATATTTATTGAGTCTACTTCCATTTTGATAGCATACAGAGTGTGGATTTGAGCTGAGCAGCAGTAAATTAATAGCTAACATAAATGGGATCTGGAAGAAAATCGTCACTGATATAAAGACATGAATTCCTAAAACCCAGTGACGGATAATAACTATATTTTTCTTCTACTTTCTAATCAACCCTAGTTACTTTTTTGAAAAGATTTATTCACATTAAGTGAGTAAAGAATTTCAAAGGCCAGTACATTTATTTCCTAGAGAAACCACATCAATTATATCAGAAATCCAAGTAAAAATTGTGTGGATTTGTACAGGCTACTGTAGTCTTATGATAAATGTTTGCAGAAATTGAGTTGAATTAAATAGTGCTCCATTTTGAATTACTCTGTATTTTGAAGATTTTGGCTCTTTTTCCTTTTTTGGGGGGGCATTGAATCTAATAAGTGTGTTTCAAATTTCAGAGGTTAAAGGACTTATCTTGTTGAGCTGGTAATGATCCTGGGCATTCACTTGTGATTTAAAATCCACTAGAATCAGAACTATAGTACTGGTCTTGATTTTAAGATATAAGATGATAGCTGTTTCATCTTTCTGAAATACTTGGAAACTTTATAGTGATACTGGAGTATAATTCCAACGGCTACTGAGAACTATTATAACATTGGTCATTACCTACAAACTGTGTTTGTGGGGAAAAATGGAAGTTATTTCAAATACTGTCACTGCTAAGAATCAAATGAGGAAGCTGTTGAATGGGCAGGCATGACCTATAATCTTTCCAAAAACTAATCTCTCCTGTGTATCTTATTTGTAAGCCCCTACCATAATTTTCCAAAGCACCTGGTCACTGCATATAAGTCCTTTGATTGCCGATGACAAGCCTATGTTTTTGTCCAGTGAGGATGAATGTGTAGTGGAGAAAATTTTGTCTATGTGACAATAGCTAGACTACAGTCTGTTCCGGAAGATTTATCCCATGTTTAACCAAAACAGATTACTGGAGATGGTGATTGGACTATGGCCACTTTAGATCAAAGTTTCTCCAGTGTCCACCATGCACTACTTATTTCAGAATTGCCTGAGCTGCATCGTAAAACGCCAGTTCTCCAGCCTTTTCTGTGATGGACTACATCAGACTCTGGGCATTCTGAGCACAGGGTCTGAGAATCTGATTTGAATGAGCCCCCTAGCTGATTCACATCTTAAAAGATATTTGAGACTGCCACTGAGACTTGAGAGCCAAGAGTCAAAGTGATGTTCTTTTTCCCAAAACAGTATTGGCCAGGGTCATAGCAGGGCTGGTTAAGTGAAGTCTAAGTATGGCGTATGTTATCAACTCATGGACAAGTGGGGATTTTCCATTTGTCAGGGATAGCAGGTAATGGAAGGCACCTTTGGCTACCTTACATAGACACGGACTTATTGGCAGGATATGGTGGTGTAAGAAATATGTGCAGGATGAGGGTTGAAGGAGGAGAAACCAGGGCACCTCTGGGCATATGTGTATCAGGTGGTAACTAATGGTCAGAGCTTGGCTGAGGCAACTTCAAATTTTATTATGCTTATTCCCAGTCTTGTGTTCATCCCTTACCTGGAGGAATGAGCACCTTCTAGGTGCACCCAACTGATAAGAAAATTTCCCAATAGGCTGTTATCAGAAGCAAAGAGGAATGAATGTCTAAGTCTATCAGATTCTCATTTGTTATCAATGTGATACACACATGACAACTCTTAAAGAAAGTAGCTAAGAGCTTAATTACGCTCTAAGATTAATCTTAGGTTAAGAAAACAACTCTCAATTTTTTTTTTTTTAATCCTCAGCCTGAATATGCCAATATTTGCTTTTGGTACATTCCACCGAGCCTTAGAGAGATGGAGGAAGGACCAGAATTCTGGGAAAAACTCAATTTAGTAAGTAATAAGTAAATCACATTTTTCCTTTTGATGAAATGATTCTGTTTCCATTGTCTATTGATCCTATAACTAACTCTGTACTTGGAAGACCTCTGGAAGATGGAGAGAAGTGGCTCCTAGTGTCCTGAAAGGTAATGACACCCCAAACAGTTGCCAACACTGTTTATGCTTGAACAATGTAACTTACTTGATCCACACATGAATTCCAAATAATGGTGCTGTTTGCAAGATCGTCATAGGATTCATTAGAAGTTCTCATTCCCAGCGTACTTCAGAAAGTGTGATCTGATAACAGGACACAAGGTTAAAGTTCCGTCATGAATGGCTTCTTTGTACAACTACACCCATGTGCGTCTGTGACTGCTTGCATCGCCTCACTTAGAGATAACGTTAAAAACCTTAATCTGGTACCCTTTGTGAATGTGAGCTCTTCTGTTCTTTCCACCGACAGAAGCATCTTCTGCCCAAGGGGCTTATGTGATTAAAAAAGAAAGAGAGAAAAGAAAAGAGATGCCAGCAATGGGTTTCAACTGATCGTAGAACCAAACGGGCTTGACATTGTCTCCACACACAGATGGTGAGGGCTGAGAGTCTCGAGTGGGGAGAAGCCCCAGGCTCTAGGGACTTGTTTTCTCTCCCCTGCACCTCTCCCAGCATGGTCCTACCAGTTAAATCCCTGCCTCTACACCAGTTCCAAGAACTGTGAAGTCTCATGAACCAACACTACTTGCTCCCACCCCTCTGCTGCATGGACATGGTGGGTATTGAAGTGAGCCAGTGGGAGTTTGCCCTGAGGATTCTGGGGCCGTGATACGGAGAGCGGGAATTCACAACCGGTTAGGACCATCAAAGTTGGGTCATGCTCTACCCCTTGAGTCTTCCCTCTCAAGCTCAGCTACCTCCATGGCCCTGGTTTGTAAAAAGTCTGACCTGCAAACCTCTCCCTATCCTCTGTGAGAAAATTGGCGATCCCATTAATAGCTTTCATAAGCAATTAGCAGCACTTCTACTTCCCAGTCAGGCAAGCAACAAACATTTACTGAGTGCTCGCCATGCTGTGAACTGGAGACCCGGACATCAACAAGACTTGGTCCCTGCCCTTGAATAGCTCATAACTGGGGAGACACAGGAGTAAGGGGACGATCCCAAGGTCACTAGTAAGGGCCTGGATGGAGATGAACCCTGTTTGCACTGATTGCCGAGAGAAAGGTTATCTACCTCTCTGTGTGACATATTAGCACTAAGTCTTAAACAATCAGGAGAAGCCTGTTGTGGGCAGTTGTAGAGAAGTAGATTCCAGAAAGAATCATTGCATGATGACCTAGAGACATAAGAGAAGAGGGTGTGATTCAAAGATCCCAGGGGTGTGATGGGGCACTCACAGGGTCCTTGTCTTTCATGACAAGGAGCTTGGAATTTGTGGCTAATTACGAGAAAGATGGAAGACCATGGCTTGAAGCCCTAACCAGCTCTAACCTCACCTGTAGCATCTCCTCTTAGCTTCAAGTCATTTTCTGTTTCTTCATGGCTCATTAAACCTCCTACACTGTAGCATAATATATACCCAATATATACATATTCTACCCATTGTCAAACCCGAGATCCGGCAGCAGAGGAGGGGAGAGAGTGATGCTGCTATCTGTTCCTTTGCCTAGAAAAACCCTTCATTACCCATGCCAGGCAGTTAACAGTCCTGGGCTTTGTCTTGGGCTTTGTCTTGCATTTTTGTCATACTAAGCAACTAGAACAGCGCTAAAGAATGCATTTCAGATGGTAAGTAACCCATAAAAGAGAAAAAGAGAAAAAAAAAAAAGGACAGTGTGAAAATGTAATGGTGAGGCTTCTAGGGACATTGTGTACTTTGATGGACTACAACTGACTTTTTTTTTTTTTGTGACATGGAGGAATAATTGCTCAGGGTTGAGGAAGATCTGGTTGCCATTCTTCTCACTTTTTCATTGTTAAGAAAAGCAACCAAGAATGTGTTCTTTGTGTTTTACTGACTGAGTACTGTCATGTGGACATGCGTCAGGAAAACTAAACAGTCCCAGTATATTTGGGCTTCTTCTTGACTCTCTCTTCCTTTATGTGAAGAAATAGTTCTATTACCCATTCTCAAAAAAGTTTGAACTTGAAGGTGGATATACATGCTAAATCAGATTATTAATCGGATAATAACCTTTTCATCTTAACTGGAAATTGAGTGTGAATCAGGACATTCTGTTCTATCCCCAGTATTTTCCAGCACTGATTCTCTTATCGTGAATATCCGTGACTCTCTATGCCTTCCTTTTGGAATGTTTTGCTGTCATTTAGAACCAT